TCGTCCACGTCATGGGGTAGGGTGATCTGCAAGCACGGAGAGAAGGGGGGATGAAGAGATAGCGGGTTGGTTGAGAAGAGTGAGGTGGGTCGCAGGAACGAGAGAAGAATGAGGATTCGGAGAGAGAGAAAATTGTTGGATTGGTGCGGGAAGGGACACACGGGTTGGAGGAGACGAACGTGAGCGTGGGATTGCTAATGAGGGCGTGGGGTTGGGGACGAGAGCGTGGGATGGGAAAAGATGGCGGCAGTGGGGGAAGCGAGAGGGACGATGAGGGTGAGGACTGCTAGAATGAGAGGTGAGAGAAACAACAGGCAGGGGCGATGCGACTCTGTTCCCTTTTGCAGCACTAATTGCGATGAGGCCTTGAGAGCAACGGCTTGCAGGGATGATGCAAACCTTATTGCAACAAGGACCCTTTTGCAAGGGTCTCTATAGCAGCACTTACTGCGTGCAGGTCGACCACGAAGAGGAAGGTGTCACACTCGTCCTGCACTCACACACACGCACACACATGCATTGTCGCATACGCATGATATGCCATACCATGCCATGTCACGCCACGCCACGCGATGGCATAGCAATAAGGGAGAGAGATTGATGGAGTTCTGTCGTCAAGACACACCACGCGGACATGACCAGAGCTACAACCGTTTGTCACTGCGGAACAGGGAAGTTAATATAACGAAATTAACCTCTGGATACTCCATCCGTTCAGGCTCCCCTCAATGGCTGACGCACCTGCAGCGGGATCCAGTTCTTGATTGCGCCCAAGTAGTTTCCCAAATGAATGCTTCCCGTCGGCTGGACGCCTGAAACGAGACGCTTTCTGAAGAGTACAAACGAGAAGGATCAAGCGGAGGAGCAAATGCGGGAAATAACTCATGCGCAAGGCTGAATGCGGTATCAAATCCAATTCAGATACAACGGTTGACCAGACGACCCCAGAGCAGCAACCCAGGCGGATTTCGAGAATTCCTAGAAAACCGGCTGATTTTTTGCCACGTGCTGAAGCATTGCTTGCAGCCGACCCACCCCAGCGCCCTTCGCTCGCTCACCTCACAGCAGCTTTCCCCTCGCTCGATCCCGCTCCGCCAGCCTCGGCCGAAACGGTCGGCTCAGCTGCTCCCTTCGCGGGAGCTGCCTCTGCAACGGTCACGCCGCTGCTTCCGCCCTCCGCGCTCGACGCCGCTGCTGTTATCGACGAGTAGAGGGTTCTAGAACCGGCTGATTTGAGGGTTACGGGGCCGTGGCGTGGAACAGGGGTTATGGACTGTACGGATGAAAGGAACGGTCTAGATGATAGAAGGAGAGACTGATCGTACGGTGAACGTGAAAGCCGTGAAACTAATCTTCTAGGCGACGACGCTAATGCGACAGTGGCAGGCGACAGTGATGTGGCTGCCGATTTGATTGCTCCGAAACGGAATGGCGAGCGAAGCGCAATCATGGCTGACAAGCGGTGAAGCCGGCCAAGAACAAGCATTCAGTGCAAGAAATGTAGCTCGATCGCCTCCTAGCCTAGCGATGCTGAAGCAGCAAACTAAAGCCTAGCCTACTAAAGCTCTCTTATGCTACAGAAAATGCCGTCGAGGCTCCCAAGGCCGTTCGCACAGCAAGCGACGTCGCAGGAGCTCCTAACGCGACCCAGCGTTGGGATTGTGTGCCACTAGTGAGATTGTGCTGGTGAGCCATTCGCCCACGTGTCAATCCATGTGACCACATTTTGCGTCCGCGACATAGAGGGAAAGCACAAGTGAATGGAGCACATATTGTATTCGATTCATGAATGGGCCATTACAGATATGTGCTGCCAAATTGTGGAGTTTTGCAGTAAGAACAACAAAGCCTGAGCTGCAAATATATATACGTATAAAATAACTAAAAAGAAAGCCCGAGACAATTCGGGAAACTTTGGACCAGGCACACGATTGGACCAGGCACACGATAGGACCAGGCGGGCGATAGGACCAGGCGCGCAATTGGACCAGTCGGAGGAAAGCATGTTGATGCCGCTGTGCAAGCGAGAGGAGGAAGGCAAGGGTGTGGCGATGAGAGGTGAGGCAGATGCTACAGATCAGGAGTGCCGCCAGTCATACAGGGGAATTTCATTTTAGTGCAGTGTGGACCTTCATAGCATACCGGTAAATGTGAACTAGATAGAATATATTGTGTTCACGACGAGAAGGGAAGGAGAATAGGGCCGCCAGGATTCTTGGCTATCTGTAAGCACCATGATTGCTTTCACTATTGCTGTTTGTGCTTGTGTTGGCTCCTCTTCCTAAGGGATCTCTGCACATCACCCAGTACACAAACGCACTGTAACAGACAATATACACCAATCAAGCTTCCGAATGCACAAATAAAAAATCACCACAACTGCTGGCCCATCAGCAGCAGTAGAATGTGCCAGCTCACCAGGAACAGACGACTCTCCGTTCGCCTCCACGACTGCTGGCCCAGCAGCAGCAGCTGCACTCGGTCCATCTCCCACCCTCATTCCCTTCTCACTCTGAGCCCTCCTCATAGCAGGACTCGCCATACTGCCTGCACCACCCCCAGCACTGCCGCAGCAGCAGCAGCAGCAGCAGTAGCACTGTCTTTGGGAGTCAAAGCAGGAGGATATGAGGGGGCCATTAGACTTGGTACGTCCCCACTCACCCTCCCACTACCACCAGCAGCACCGCCTCCTCCCGTTCTCTTGCTAATACTGGATTTATCCATCCCTCTGCTACCATCCCCCCCATCCCCTGCTGCTGCTGCACCTGCTCCTCCTGCGCCTTCCTTGGTTTCTTCTAGACTTAAGGAGGAGAGGGAGGGGGAGCGAGAAGTTGAGGAAGGGGGCTTGGAGGAAGGGGAGGAGTCAAAAGGGCCATCCAGCCACCACAAAGAACTCAACCCCTCCTCTTCCCGCCCCTCACCTTGTTCACATCGGCGTGCAGGCTGACTCGGTACAGCAGGCACAGCACAGCATGCAGCGTCTCTAGATTCACGGGCGGCAGCGTGTGCAGCAGTCGCCTGAGCTGCTGCCGGCCGTAGCGACGCCAGGGAAGAGAGCGAAGGTCATGAGGGGCTCGGGGAGGCACTTGAGGTACACCAGCACATCTGCCCCATGTCTAGGGGCCTGGTGTCTGGTGGGATGTCCGCATTGGGGTCTGGTTTCATAGGGGTTGGATGCGGTGGAGAGTGGAAGAGTGGGAGAGGGGGAGCAGGGGAGCAGGGAAGGGGAGAGCGGAGTGGAAATGAGCTGGCAGCGGGGTGGGGACGAGGGGAGATCGGGGAGGATTGAGCAAAGAGCAGAGGGGAAATGAGGGATGAGTGGTATTAACGCGACTGACACTATCTACGGCGCCAAATCCTAACTTACGCTTAGATCTGAGAAGGCATGCGGGATATAACAAGCGATTGGAACCTAGAAACGCTAGAAAAAGGCAGAAGTGAATCACAGAACCGAACTCAAGTAAGGACGTGAGGAGTCGATGAAGCACGGTGGTGGTTGTGGGAAGGTGAACAAACCACATTTCCTACTGGCTCACGGAATTTTATCCCAACCACACCTCCACATTTCAGCTGCCCGAACCTGGTTCACAGGCAGCAGAGGGGGTTGTGAAAGCAGATAAACTTGGTGACAGCTCAGAAAAAAAAAAATATTCCTTCCTAAACCATCCCCCGCACCTCACGCAAACCTAACCAAGAACTTCCACATCAGCACTCTCCTAGACAGCTCATTTCTGCCCTTCCCCAAAGCTAAACCTATATAGAGTACACAAGCACACTCGTTTACAGAACACAAGCAAACAAAATTGATTGAAAATGTTCAGATGTGTATTACGATGGTGTTTGGATGTGTTGTGCACAGTATCGTCCGTTCAATTCCAACGTTTGGCGCTTTCTCCCCGCCTGCACTCTGGCGCTTCTCCACACCTGCACTCTGGCACTTCTTCCCGCCTGCACTCTGGCACAGACGGAGCGGCCGTGTCGCACCTTACTGCAGCCAGCAACTCATCGCATTTGAAACTAAGATTCGCTCTGCCGCGCGTGGCGGCCATGGTGGTTTTGAATTGATTTTTGTTTATAGGAAAGAGTCGTGAACAGAAATTAAGATTGATAAAATACAAGTCATATACAACTACTATGTGCTCAAGTCAAATACAAGTCAAAGCAAGCATCACTATGTGCTCAACTACTGCATCCGCAGAACCACTGTCTAGTCTTCAGCAACTCCATCTTCAGAACCGCAGCGCCAAGTGTTGAGCCACTCCTTCAGATCCGCCGCCGCTTGAACTGTTGTCATGTCTTCTCACTTACCGTTTGACCCCTCTTGGCCGCTAGAGGCAAATGCCTCTAGCGTTACACCCAAACACCGCGATGAGGTGGGGGTCTTCGTTTGGGGAACCTGCTTGGGAGGGGAGGGATGGGAGGGAGGGAGGGATACTTGGGAGGGACGGGTTAGAGCTTTGATTGAGTGAAAACGCCTCAGGAAGTATCTTCTGTTGCCAGGTTGTCAGGTTGTCAGGTTGTCAGGCGGTGGAGATGGCGGTGGAGCAGCAGTGAAGATGGCGGTCCGAGGAGGAGGAGGAGGAGGTATCCCACCCCACCACCCCACTCTAGCTCCCTTAATCTACCCAACCACCCCCATTCTAGCTCCCTTAATCTACCACTCCCCCCCCTCCCACTCTAGCTCCCTTAATCTAACGTTCCTCACTGATCGGCCTAGCTCCCACCAACTTACAAACCCTTATCGTAAGCCGCTGGTTCGTCACGCCGCCGTACCTCAAAATGGTAATGGGGGAAGGGGAGAGGGGAAGGGGGGGAAATGGGGAAGTAGTCAAACTCCTCGCTCCGCCGTTCCGCCGCTCCGCCGGGCCGCCGTTCCGCCGCTCAGCGGATCCGCCGTTCCGCCGTTCCGCCGGTCCGTCGCTTCTCCGCTCTTCCGCCCCGCTGCTCCGTAGCTCCCACTACCGATCCTTGTTGCTCCTGCTGAAAAACACAGAAGCAAACAAGATAGTTAGTAATAGTGAAAATATGAAGAACAACAATTGAAACGAGCACAATACCTTGTGAATCGCCGTTGCTGCTCACCGCTCCCGCTTCCGCTTCCTCGCCTTCTGTTCTGCTAAAAAAAAAGAGACGGAAACACGGCATTAGTAAACGTGAAAATATGAAAAATAACAACCGAAACGAGCACATTACCGCGCGAATCGCCGCTGCTGCTCCCCGCTCCCGCTCCTTCCTGCTCCCGTTGCCGCTCCCTCTTCTGCCCGTTCCTGCCTAAAATCCAAAAACAAACAAAAAAACACGGTAGTAAGTAAACGTGAAGTAGACAAATATATAAACTGGAACGATCACCTTACATGGGCTTGACGGTGGTCGTTGACGTTGGTCGTTGACGTTGGTCGTTGGCGTTGGTCGTTGCCGTTGGTTGTTGACGTTGGTCGTTGACGTTGGTCGTTGACATTGGTTGTTGACTTGATCGTTGTTGATGTCGTTGACGTTGCCAAGAGCCGGGCGAATCGCCGCTGCTGCTCCCCGCTCCCGCTCCTTCCTGCTCCCGTTGCCGCTCCCTCTTCTGCCCGTTCCTGCCTAAAAAGCAAAAACAAAAAAAACACGGTAGTAAGTAAACGTGAAGTAGACAAAAATATAAACAGGAACGATCACCTTACATGGGCTTGACGGTCGTCGTTGACGTTGGTCGTTGACGTTGGTCGTTGGCGTTGGTCGTTGCCGTTGGTTGTTGACGTTGGTCGTTGACGTTGGTCGTTGACGTTGGTCGTTGACTTTGGTCGTTGACGTTGGTCGTTGACGCTGGTCGTTGACGCTGGTCGTTGACGTTGGTTGTTGACTTGATCGTTGACTTGATCGTTGTTGATGTCGTTGACGTTGCCAAGAGCCGCGCCATAGAGGAAGCAAAGGATCGCTTTGCTAACTGTAGAGAAACAACAAACACGGTCAGCAAGAATCCAGATGTGATTAAAGCGAGCGACATGCGAAAAACATCAAGCCTTACCGAGTTAACCGAAGTCCCACTTGCGACGGTCAAACCTCCATCATCGCCGTAGTAGCGACGCCGCGTGGTCGCAAAGGGGGGAACGCGGAGGAGAAACTTACCTTCACGCGAGTGAGGAGCGACGGTGAAGGCGAATCTGAACTTACCTTAACGCGAGTGAGCGTCGAAAGCGAGGAGCGAAGTTCAAGAAAAGAATTGAACAGACCTCGAGAGAGAGAAGGGACTCGCGGCGAGGGAGAGAAGGGCCTCGCGGCGAGAGAGAGAAGGGCCTCGCGGCGAGGGAGAGAAGGGCCTCGCGGCGAGAGAGAGAAGGGCCTCACGGCGAGAGAGAGAGAAGGGCCTCGCGGCGAGAGAGAGAGAAGGGCCTCGCGGCGAGAGAGAGAGAAGGACCTCGCGGCGAGGGAGAGAAGGGCCTCGCGGCGAGGGAGAGAAAGGGCCCGCGGCGAGAAGGACTACAGGGGTGGCGGGAAGAAGGCCACCACGGTTGAAGGAGGCCACACGGGATGAAGAAGGCCGCACGGGATGAAGAAGGCCACCCGGGAAGAAGGCCACCCGGGAAGAAGGCCACGCGGGATGAAGAAGGCCACACGGGTGAAGAAGGCCACAAGGGATGAAGAAGGCCACAAGGGATGAAGAAGGTGACACGGGATGAAGAATGCCACACGGAATGAAGAAGGCCACCCGGGAAGAAGGCCACCCGGGAAGAAGGCCACGCGGGATGAAGAAGGCCACACGGGTGAAGAAGGCCACAAGGGATGAAGAAGGCCACAAGGGATGAAGAAGGCGACACGGGATGAAGAATGCCACACGGGAAGAAGGCCACCCGGGAAGAAGGCCACGCGGGATGAAGAAGGCCACACGGGTGAAAAAGGCCCACACGATGGTCTTGATTTCTTCAAGTGATGAAAATGAACTTAGTGATGGAACTTTTGTACGTTTCTTAGCTCAATGGAATGGATGATTGATTGAACAAGTTGCAAGTAGAAAGCTTGCGGAAGGAAGCGGAGAAGGAGATGAGTCAGGGGATCAGGCATCAGTTCTGGTTTGTGTTTGGCGCAGGCCGCCGCGCGTGGCAGAACGCGCGTTCTGTTCAAATTGGATGCGTTTCTGCTGGCTGCAGTGGGGTGCGACACGGTGGATATTGGGCCAAAGTGCGGTAAGTGTTGACATTGGCTGGTTGGATTTACTCGATGGTGGTGGAGATATCTAGTTGCTGTCAACGGTGGGGATCCTTCGAGATTGGGTTGGTACAGTTCATGATGACTGTACTGTGGGCCCACAAGGATAATGTCAGTGAGGCGGCTGAAACTTCTGCTCTGCACACGCGCAAACTTACGGTCAATTCGAACTGCGATCCAATCTTCCCAGTGCGTGTTTGCAAATGCAATCTTTTCGGGCAGAACCATGCGGCTGCCCGTGTTTAGGGTTGGGGCTCCCCGTGTTTAGGGTTGGGGCTCCCCTATGTTGGGCTGAGATAGCCCCTTAGGATCTTT